CTCTTGAGAAAGCGATGCTGATGCCTAGAAGAAGCCATACATGCACCTGCTATTACAAGTACTGCAGAAAGCACAAAGTTCTGGTAGAGAAATACCAGTGCATAGGTTGAAACAAGTAGATTTTGAAAGACCATGACAAACATTAAGTCCAAAGTAAATGTACTAAATAGTCTTCTTAACCCAAAGCTTCAAGTAATTAGCTTTAGAGAGTCAGACTTAGATTACCCTTCTTACCCAAGAAGTTGTGTAACTAGCCCTGCAAAGTCATATAAGTAAGAACTGTAGATTGCTTCAAGCAGTTATTTACAGTGAGGTCTGTGACACACACCTGTCTGAATTAAATGGAATATGTCTGATGCTCAACTTCTGGTAAGCTCTGCCAAACAAGGCTTCTGAGACAAACTCTGGCTTGCCTTTGCAAAGTCTGCATGTTGTATAATTAGCTCACACTTGTAACATTAAGTTCAAGAGTTGCTTATACTTAGATACAGAGTCTAGGGCTAGAGACCACCAGTCCCATTCTCACCACATATACCATCACACATGCATCAGAACTGCACTTGCATACCAGAAGAGTGCACTGTCACCATGGGAGTGTACTCCCTGATTGTGTGGGCACCAAAGCAAGCTTACCTACTGCTTCCCATGAGAAGCAGGACTGGAAGAGACAGACACTTCAAGCCTAAGGGACTAGAAATATGCTGGGTGCAAGCAACCCTAATTCTAAACAGTAAGTTTGCAAAAAACCTCAGAACATTCTACTAAATCAGATGTTCTACATTATAGCACAGCACAAGTCTTCTGGATGCATACTAAACAGCAAAATTATGTAAACCTTGTCAGCACAAGTCTTACGACACTGTAAAAGTGAGACTGTGTCAAGAACCAGGACAGAACTGCCAATTCAAGTGGCAGCTAGACTAACTATAATATCCCTGTCATGACTGTTACATTCAACTATACAGAATATTAAGGAATAGATAGCCTATTAAGGAATAGAGTAAATGTTACATCCACAGTACACTGATAGCATGTACATCAGCAAAAAAAAATAAAAGCCATGAACATTTCCCCATCATAATCTACAGACAGTGGATTAGAGAGTCCAACAGGTAAGACCCAGCTACATTTCTTAATGCAGCAACACCTTAGCAAGAGATCCTTAAGAACATGATCTGCATGAACTGAAACGCTATTTTCAGCTCCAAACAATATTTGAATGCTAGCCCTGATTTAGCTACACAAATACTGTTAAGAAAGCAAGGTTTGAGGTCTTGGCTGAACATCAGGAAGTCAGAGTCCCAATATTTCTTCAGTGAGTACCTGAGAGAACACATCTGTCTTCAGCTTACACAGAAGTTTGCTATTGTCATGACAATATCCATCCCAGTTTATGCATCTTCTATGTTTATTAGAGGGAGTATTTTACACTGTAACCAAAGCAAATATGCTGCTTATACATTCCCACAAGAATAAGCACCACACTTCCTAGCCTGCATTTTTCATCCCACACCCTTTCCATTTCAAGGGTCAGACTGTTCACATTGCATTCATGCCGTATTAGGAAGACTTTTCCAACCATGTTTAAGTATTCCAGAATGTAGGCTATACTATTGCAGTTACTTGCATTCTGTCCCTGAGTGCAGTCAAGAATATATATTCAGGAGAGGCCCCACCACACCTTTCTGTTAGGGCTGGCTACCACACAGATCTTTGAATGCCAGTGAACCCCAGAATATATTACCTGTGGCGTCTGTGGTGTCACCAAGTCTTCAGTTTCAGAGCCAGAAAGAGTCTGATCAGCAGATGCTAGGGAAGTATTTGAACCATGCAGTGTCATGGATGGAGAAGCAGCCTTGCAAGAAGAGAAAACTGAGATAAGGTTTTGGATTATCTTAAGTGTTTGGTCCCACTGAAACGCACACTCTGGGCATTTCCAAGTAAACCTCAGAACGAGGCAGGAACTAAAGTGCTTTGATCAGTTAGTCAAAAAGTTTCCTAGAAATGCTTGTCAGTGGCAAGGAAACCTATTTAAAAGCCAAAGTAGCAAGACATACAAGTGCAATAAGGAAATTTAAGGTTCCCTTAACTATGGTTGCCAAAGCTTGAAACACTATCTTTGTCTTTGAGATCCTCACTTATGCCAAAGACATGCACTACCTAGGGAAGAAGCAGCATGTTCTCCTGCACACAGGAGTGTGCACATTAGTGATGACTTGAATCTATGGGTTGAATATTCAAACTATTTCAGCACATCTTCAATGTACGATTTCCCAAAATTTCAAACATTTGTTGCTGCTTTTCAAGCAGAAGAACAGTCAACTTTGTAAGCATTTAAGTCATCCTAGACTTGCAAGCTATGAAGTTAGTAGTTTTGTAACAAAAGTTCATATGACAAGAAAAACAATTAAAGTACTAAGTCTATTCTAGTGAATAACCTCTATATCATTCCTTTGCTACAGCTCTGCCTCTCAGGGCAGTCCTAACTTCAACTTACTTTAATGGGCTGTTGAAGAAAATCACTCTGACTTGGCAGTTTCTGTTCTTTTGAAGCTGTAAATAAAAGAATATGTTAAGCAACATTTACTTTCAAATTTAAACACTACATATAGTTTCAGTGTGCAGTTCTACTTTTTGAAAGCATTTGGTGTATGAAGATGCATACACTATTTTTAGTGTATGCACTGCAAATATTTACTTAGCATTAGTAAACTACACTCAGTTGAAAACTTCAGGTTTTTTGTAAAAGAGGAGAGGTATTTAATGACAAAAATATTTCTACCACAATAGATACACCCACTTTCCAGATTTAAAAAAGCAGTTAAATATTTAATAAACTGGGTAACTGTTTTACAGCACATTAGACAGCCAAACAGTTTCTTAACATGGCCCATTGTAGAAAGCTCTAGTTTAAGTGTAGCTAGATAACTGCTCTTTTTCTTGAGCTCATTCACAGCATTTGTCTATATATACACCACATCTAGACAAGTTTGTTACACAGATACAACATGGCAATTCTGCAGCTGTGTTCAGATGCACATGCCAGTTGGCAATTATACAAGTGTTCTGTTTCCAGGCAATTGCACCAACTTAAGCAATCTCCAGCAACAAATAAGTAGGTAAGTGGCTCAAGCTACCTTTTTTTTTTTTAAAATCAGACATTGATATTCTTTATAATTAGACAAGCTGTCTTCACCACACCAACTGATCTACAGCCCAAGCAAACCCTGTTAGTGTTTGCAAAAGCTTACATACAATTTACACTTACAGTATTACCTACCTACAGGACTACTTGCTGGAGTAACTGAAGGTGGTTGGGATGAACCAATGGCACTTGGTGAAGCTTTATCAAAATCCAGAATGGACTCCTTTTTAAAAAAAGATTATCAGTTAGGAGAAAAAATTAAACTCTAGATACAAAGGAAACATTCTCATTTGACAAATTGCTGTTAACTAATTAAGAGCTAGATTCATTCACTCAGGGCAAACACACATTGTCAGCACTGTCTTCCATAACCCAGTAGGAACTGAAGCTTTGTGCTACAACAGCTGAGAAAAAACAAACATACTTGCATGAAGTTGTAAGTCCCTTGTATCTGAGTCATCAGATCCTGAAGTTTTTCCCTTCTCAATACCGGATCTTTTGGAAGAGTTGAAGTAGAGCAAAATTCTGCAGCTGGCTGATGTACAGGTTTAGGCACCTAAGAAAAGATATTACATCTAATACTGAAAGCAAGACAAGGTGCCTTATCCAATATACTGCCATAGCAATCTTTAGGCATCAGATACCATGGGCCAAGGAATTCTGTGCTGTCATTGATATTTCCTGAATCAAGCTTTCATTTTGCTAAAAAAAAAATCAGCTTACTGTTGCCACAACTAGTTAAGCCACAGAATTAATTCACTTTGTTCAGTTTATTACAGTCAAATGAAGAGAAGACAGTAAGTTGCCTGCATTTAGTGCAAAATCAGGCACTTCCATCTAAGGAAACCCAAATATTCAAAGTGAAGGCCAGAACAAACTTAAAAATCAAAGCTGCATCACTCAAAGTTTAAAACATACTTCCCAGTACAGCCCGTATCAGTAACTACAGATCTTTTATTAGGATAGCATTTCCAGACATTCTGAAGAAACTACACTTAAGAGATACATTGTAAGCAGGTTACTCAGGATTACACCAAGTGCTTCCACTAAAAAGCCAGATACTCTCAATGTACCAGTCCTGCAGAAAGTATTACATTAAACTTAGTTCTAAGTTTGGCATGAAAAACACACCTCTGCTCCCACATGGAACCCTAACTTTGTAGCTAAATAAGGACTTTTACAGGGCCTTATTACTCCTTGATTGTCTCCAGTGGTCCCTTCACAGTTCATCCCAACTGCTTCTCGCCTCACTTTAAAGAGGAAAAAGTTTTATCAGAGAATACACAAGTCTAGGTATCAGAAAAATCATTATAGTAAACTCCTTAAATAGCAGAAGCCCTGTTATTTACAGAGTGACAATAATATTAGACTGTCTACATAGTCTAGTATCTTGAAAACAGCTTGGGCAAGAGGTAGGCCTGTTTTAAGTATTTTAAAACCATAATTTTTAGTGATTCTTTGAAGTTTTGCTGTTCTTATGTTTGGCTATGCAGCTAGAGGGAGGCAAATCTGAAGACATTAAGCAGTTGCATTATTTCAACTGGCCCAAATATTAAGATACACAGGAATATGTGAAAGCCTTTACTTTCCTACAGTATAAACATTCATCTTTCTAATAGGAGATTATACTTCAATACACTGTATAGCAGTAGAGTTGAGTATTTGTATGAAGTCATTAGAAGACTATATGGCAGAAGTGTATGTGTCATGACATTTAATTGTCACACTAAACTCAGAACAAATTGATGAAATGCTCTTTGTCCAGTTTTAGGACAAGCCCAAAAACACTCTTGCATTTCCTCTTCAGTTATCTGAAACTAATCACTAGCATTTGCAGAAATTCCAACAGCATGCACAGGGAAGAAGCTTGCAGTGTTTAGTGAGCTTCACGAAGCATAATCCATGTACATGCAGCACATCATTAACTCTAGAGGACTCAACTTCTAATACCTATATGGCCCATGTGACAGCTACTTGTTGAGCTCTGAGAAGCTTTATTCTAGAGCTAGAAGAGTGCAGCTTTGTACTACTCTATCTTAATCAGAATTTCTGATGCCCAAGCAGTACCTTTGACTATGCAAGTTTATATTGCTGAATAGTTTCCAATAATGAATAGGAAGTAAAACTATTAAGGATCTCTGTGCAGGACAAAAGATACAGTTGAATAAAGCTATATCTCAGCAAGTTATAGATTAAGTTACTTGGAATCTGAATCTTCCTGTCCATCACTTTATAAGCCCTCACAAACAGAGTTAATCTTAAAACGCTGTCATGGTAAATCCATCACGGGTCAAACTGATTAATGCTTTTATTACCCTCTTCCTCCTCACTACAGTTTGCTAAAATACAAATATACTACCAAACTAGTTCTGTATTTTTGCAAATGGATAACATAAGCTTTTTACCTTTAAGTCACCTAACCAGGTCAAGTCTGGTAGTGTCTGAAGCTATTGTCCACTAGCTACATGAGGTAGACTTGTACATTAAATACACAAGTAAAGACAGCCTTAAGAGCACAGAAGCAGAAAAGACTGCAGTGTTTCTCTTGTGGTTGCAAAGATAATACAATCTTCTGTATGTTTTTACAACTTGTTAAGTCTTTATCTCCTTTCCCAGCTCATACTGTGCATTATGCTGGTAGCATTCTTTACTTCAACTTGAAGAACAAGCATAGAGGATTACATATATGATATTAGGGCTTTAATCCAGGATTGAAACATTGAGACTCTCCACTCAGTAGAAGTAATTTTCTACTTGTTGCATATATTAAAATACACCAGCCAGAAGTAGCTATAGTGAAGTTACCTCATTGATTTGCTGTTTTGCTCGTTCTTAGGTGTTCAAAACTAGAATATTTACATGCAGTACAGAGCATACATGAAAATGCATCAGAAAGATAAAGTATGTCAGGTTTTATGCCTTTGTAAAAGAGATGCTTTGAAAAAGAGCAGGTACTTAACATCCTTAAGATGGTTTAAAACCAAGTTTTCTTTCTAGCCTACAGTTAGATGTTTCTTCTGGAAGTCATTACAAGGTGGTAGCAGATTCCAAGTTTAGTAACCTATTAGGCCAGTACAAACTTACACATGCTGAGATCACTTAACACTAGTGGTTCAAGCAACATTCAGGTTAATTTTACACATCACTGATAGGTTTAGGGTCTAATTTGTCATAAATATTTCTGAAACCCAACTTCAACACTACTTACACATTCAGCAAAAACTGTTTTGATACATATCTAGAGAACTGACTAAAAATGGAGTTGAACAACATAGAATTTGTTGTAGGACTTGTTAAACCATATTAAACCAACAATGTAAAGGCACATCAACCACGCTGGAATTCTACTAGTCAAGGTGCCAATATACTAGGTACTTTTGTTAAAGCTTAGGGTTTTTAAGAGACTGAAGGTCTACTTACACATAGCACTACTCTAACATACATTTTAACCACTTCATGTACTAGTAAATCTCCATCCTGTGATACAGGACCTCAATTCCTCTAAGTTTGTTAGCTGTGGAGTACTAAATGAGCTGGAATGATGATACCTAAGCTGTACTCACAGTGATCACCAGCTGTGCCATGTAGATACACAATTAACATTTGCTTTCTACTCAGAGCAGCATGCACAGCAGGTATGAAGTAAATGGCACTGGATGACAGCAAAATCCAAACTGTTTTCATATAGCAGGCCACAAATTCAGCTCTAACTAAGGTCCACAGGTTGCACGAACATTTAAATAGAGTAACAGTTTAATAGGCTTGCATATCAGCTCACCCCTAGGCCCAACTTCTCAGGTACTGCACCTAATAGTGCCTTAAGTTAAATAAGCATATTTTAAGAGCTCAAAACCTAGCAGTTTATTAAAAAATGCCTCAGAACCCTAACAGTTATTTCAGGGAGTAAAGAAAGGTTAATTTCAGCTCCAGAAAGCAGCCACATAAGCCTTTTATCTACCATGCCTAGATCCTTGCAGAAGGTCATTTATAGGTTCTCCCTGGGAGTGAAATCAATCCAGCTATAGCACTGCATTGCCTCTTCTTTCTTCATATAATGAAACTTCTCTTGCCTTTGCTTATCCAAAAAGTTTAAGATACAATTAATTGTTCTTTACATGTACCTCAAATCAAATTAAGAAATATTTGTTCTTTAAAAAGTGGTTATGGAAGCTAGCTAGGTTGACAGTACACTATTTTTTACTCATTCAATATACTTTTGATATCAGGATTTATCAATAGCTACTAGGCAAAAATATAGCCAGATCATGTTTCTCTATGGTCTACTATATAAATGAATGTTTTAAGTAAATAAAGCATATTTTTAGTGTTAATTCAGTAATCTAACTTAAGCAAATTTACATTCCAACATTCAATTTAGTTTAATTTAGCTGACTTGTACACCTGCATATTACTATGAAAAATGCATAGGCAGTTTGCAAGTTTCTCCAAGTGACTGGAGACCCTCCTTTTTCCTTACTGCATCAAAGTTCTGCCCATGACTTAAGCCATTCACTTTCCATCCGATACAAAAATGAGCCCCATCTCATTAGGGAGCATCTTGCATTTAAGCTTTGAGTTAATCTGACACCAGAAATTCCAAGGCATCTTAAAGTGCTTGACACTATTTCAATATAATATCATAGTTTCAGTTACAGTAATATTGTGCACCCAACTATGCATCACACCTACTTGTGCTCAGAGCTATTTAGCATGAGGCAACCAGGTTTTGTTACCTGTACCACCACCACCAGTGGACAAGATTCTACTCAGCTTGAGTGTAAAGATGAATCAAGTTGAGACACCTTAATCCCTTTTTTGTTACCCAGTGCTGCATGTTACCTACTCGTTTAATTTCATGTTCAACCTTCTGTTTGCGGTCCCGCCTCTAGGCACAAAAACATCCATTTCAGTTATGCCAATTTACTGACAAGATTTAAGCTTAATTATTTGCCATCAATAATATGGAATGAATTGATTTCTGCTTTCTTGCAGAAACAAGGTAGTAGTGTTAACATTGTGTACAAGAGAATTGTTCAATTCCCTGTAGTTTCTTCCTGAAGTCTAACTCTAAAGTAAACACTGCTCTTAATGATGTAACTGAACTCTGCTTTGCCTACCATCCTACCTATTTTCACAGTATCAGAATTGTTACTACCCAAGCACAGGTGAGAAAGAAGGCAATATAACCAGAGGCTAGCAGCCTGCTCTGCAGTAAGCCCTTCAGTAACTTTCATTTTACATTTCTAAAACAAACTATGCTATTGTTAGACTCTCCAGGACAGCAGTATGGCTCATGCATTCATCTGGAAATACATATTTAAGCCCCTGTACAGTTGGTATTGCTTGATCTAGATGTTAGATCTCTCTTGAATCAGCAGCTATTTTAATCAAAAGCCTAAAAAAATTACTGAAGTGCTATTTGCATGCAGCCACAGACTAAGTATTTGATCCCTGGATGAGTCATACCTGCTTTGTACTGATAACAGTGGACAGAGCCAATAGCTGGGGATGAACAAAGTTAATTCTTCTGTCTTATGCATAAAGCAGTTATTCAAGGCTCAAACACAGCAATACTGTGTTGATGTAAAAAGCAAAGCAGGCCATCTTGCTATTCATATATGAAGTTTAATTGCTAGAATTATTTCCCCCAAGAAAGAATGAAATAGGAGTCTAAATATAGGCCTACAAAATGCACCATATAAAGCCTCTGCTAATAGGTAGCTTTAGTCCAATACACTAGTGTGAAAAGCTTATGACAGGTAATACTACATATGCCAACTCACTTCTTTGGGTTCCATATCAAACTTCTTTGGCCCCATCTGCTCCTTTGGCCCAACACTTGCAGCTCCCCAGGACTTCGGAGGGTTCTGTAACTGCTGTGATGACACTTGCTGCTGCCTGTCAGCTTTCTCCCAAGCCTCTCGAGTCTCCTGCTTCTTTTGTTCTGGCTCCTCCCTAACATGTGCAGCCCAAGCCTTCACAGGCTCCTGCTTCTTTTGCTCTGCCTCTTCCCTAAGAGGCATTTCCCATGATTTCACAGGCTCTGGCTTCTTTTGTTCTGGTTGCTCCCTAGTTTGGGTTACCCAAGGTTTTGGAGATTCCTGCTTTTGTTCTGGTTCTTCCTTAACTTTGGTTACCCAAGTTTTTGGGGTCTCCTGCTTTTTCTGTTCCTGCTCTTCCCTAACTTTGGCTACCCATGGCTTAGGTGATTCCTGTTTCTTCTGGTCATGCTCTTCCCTAACCTTTGCTACCCAAGGTTTGGGGGACTCCTGCTCCTCTCTGACACGTGCTACCCAGGCCTTCGGAGCTTCTTGCTTCTTCTGTTCTTCCTCCTCAACACGGGTCTCCCAGGGCTTTGTAGACTCACGCTTCTGTTCCTCCTCTTTAACACGAGCTTCCCAAGGCTTTGGAGAATCTGGTCTTTTTGGTTCTTGCTGTCTAAAACGAGCTTCCCAAGGCTTTAAGGTCTCTTGTTTCTGCTTCTGTTCCTGCTCTTCAATATCAACAAGCATTTCCCAGGACTTTGGAGGTTCTTGCTTTCTAGCACACTCAGCTTCCCAAGATTTGGGCTCTTCTGGCTTCTTCTTGACAGAGTATTCTGCTTCAGGCAAATAACGCCTGTTGAGAAACTATATAGACCAGAGAAACTTAATGGCTCCCAAGAAAACATTTTGCTACTACAGTTCAGGTCAGTTAAGTTAGGTCACCCAGCTGCTGAAAATTTCTGACTAAAAGCAGAGCCTAGACAGTCTAAGCACTAGCCATAGAAACTATGTGGACAGTCATGTCTTTATCCAACACCACCAAGACTAGCTTTGCTTGGCATGCCACAAAGAAGCATGAAACTGTCCTGAACAGCACAAGTGAAAAATATTTGTGCTGAGCAAATCTATTACCCTTATCCTCAATGCTAACTGATGTTCCCAGGCAATGACAATAAAGCTCAATTGTGATTTTTATAAAGGTAGCTCTCTGAAGCATCTAAAATGCTGTGGTACTATATTAGTAGACATTCTGCTAAGCACAGCAGCACCATTTCTCCCAAAATCTTTGGCCCAGTAATCAAGTATAACCCTCATTCTTAATGGAGTTTTAATACCAAAAAGTCAGCAGATTCTCAGATTTAGTACCACTGGACTTCAAACTCCAGGCTGTATTTACTGTCAGTAAGTCTGAGTTCAATGATGATGTCCTGAAGTTTTTCTGCATTACTACTTTATCATAAACAGTAAGTAAATATATGAAGTGAAGAATGTACAAGGCTCACTGGCTGAGATTTTTCTGACAAGTCACCAGAAAAGCTTTAGTCAGGTAACGGCATTACCAGTAGGTTACAAAAAACTTGTTCTAGAGTACACCCCCTAGCGGGATACCTGGGAAATAGGGATTCAGCATTTTAAGAACCAGTATTTCCACTTCCAAAAGGACACTCCTCCCCACTTTTTGAACCAAGTCTAATGTATTTTATGCTACTGCCAGTTGAAGCTTGAGTACTTAACTCAGGAGTCTGAAGGGCTGTTGAAACAGGTCTACACACCCCTATGCATACAAGTCTGTCTTGGGATCCCCACTTTCCTTGCAAATCAGAGCAAGACCTGTATCATCCTCAACCCCACCAGTATCAAGTCTCCTGCAATAAGCTTAGCTTTTAGAGACAGCTTTAGTAGATGTGTATTTTCTCTATCCTGCAGTACACAAAAGGTCACTATGTTTCTGCTCTGAAGGCTGATGCTTTGGTTTATTCAGGAAAGTGCCAGAGCATTAGAGTACTACACTGCTTCGTATAATCCTGCCCCATTTATCCCTAAATACCCCACAGAAGCCATAAATTTGGGGATAGAAATAGAAATGCAACCAAGTCTTTAATGCTTCCTACATAAAGCAACACCAAAGTTGCTATTCAGACTCCCTTTTTAAGTTTCAAAAAAGGCTGCAGAAGTGCAGATTTATTTCTGATAAATCACAATACTAAAGGAAAGCATTTAGCAGTGGAGTATCTTACCTCCTGTGGCCGTATTTCAGACTTCATAAGCTCCATAAGGGATTCTAGAGAAAGGATGTTAATTTGTTTCAACTGATGAAATGCAGAAAAGCAGACCAAACAGTAGCAAGTCTTTAATTCTATTTAAATAGTAGTGCCAATTGCTAAAGCAGATATTCTGAAAGCTCAGCTTGCCATTCAACATGGTATTTCTAGACAAGCTTTTATTTTCTGATTTCGTTTTACTTTTGCAGAAGTTTAGAGTTAGGAAGACACATTTTTTTAGTATGCATAATTTGCTTATTATAATATGTAACATTCCCTACACCAGACAATTCTCACTTCAACATGGTTACTTTGCTCAGAAGGCAAACACATCCTGTTACTATGAATTAGGTTTTTTTCTACAACATTATCCAGAATAGGGCTGCAAGCCTTGCAGCTTCCATTTTCGTTACTACATTGCAAGTAAGTTATAGCACAAGATTAGATTTAGCATCAAGCTATACACAGTCAATGCTCAGTTCAAGCTTCTCAACATTATGCTACAGAAATTGAACCCTGTAATATTCCACCTGGTTCTTTGACAGACTCTCCTTTTGACATCTGCCTTGTTCTCTCAGATTTTCTATTTACTTCTTCTTCAAATTCTTTCACCGGCACAGTGGTACGAGGAGTCGGAATACTTTCAAAGTAGCCGGAGTCTAGAAGTTTGGATAACAGGTCCTTCATGTGTTTGTCTAAAGAATAAAAATCCATTAAGTTAAGACATGAAAATTTCAGGTTAAGGAGTATTCAGATTACAGATCAAGATTCCTTACTTCCTCCCTTTGTATAAATGGCAGCTTCTCCAAGTTCACACATCTTACTGAGTTAGAGCAGTAAAATGTTTCAGTAAAGGAAAAGTATTAAATTGCTTTGTATATTACAGATGAAACATCCTTGCAATCCAGACATAACACTGCAGCTTGTGTTTAAATGCACACAAGGTAATCACTGAGCCACCTGGTCTCCCACATGCTTAGAAAGGGATTTGTTTGCCATTATAAACTAGCCAGCATTGATACTAAAAGCATGTTGTGCAGACTTTAGCATAGGTAAAGCTAAACGAAGTCACTACAGAACTGCCCTACAACACCCTCTTCCCAGTGGTAGGATGGCAAGTCTTAGAGGAAAACTTAAGAACTGGAAAAACAAGTAGGGGGAAAAAAGCAAGAGATTGTTCCAGACTGAACTTAATCCTCTGAAGTTTGAGAAAAGCCCATTGACATGGTTGAAGGAAAACTTAACTAAGTACTCTTTCCAATGAGCATTGTCCAGTTCCCTTTATGCAAAAGAGATAGCAGCTTAAAGTAGAAATACCTCAGAAGCAGCAGCGATAATGAAAATTGTTTCAGAGGAGCTAGAGGCACAGCAGTCTTGAGAACAGAAGAATATCTAGTGAAAGATCACTCCTACCAGTGACAACCATATAAACAAGAATAGTAGGTAGAATCTAATACATAAAAAATTGCCTTCCAAGGTGCCTTCCAAGGCAATGAATGCTAATAAGAAGTCATAACAGGTTTATCTGAAGTTTAGTTTCCACATAAAAGGATGGAAGACTGACACTAAAGGGACAGAGATACTGACAAAATAGTCACAGAAGTTTAGATGCTAGCCAAAAAGCTACAAAACTTTGGAGTCCAAGATAACCAGGCAACTATCACTTCATCTCAACAGATACAAGCTGGTAACTTTAGTCTTGTAGCTCTACAAGACCAGCTTGAACTTCCTCTAAGACTATATAAGGAGTTAAAACTTAGTTGTCACTTCAACTCTCTATGTGGAAATTAGATAGGGTCTATTAGTGCTCATCTAACAGTTTCCACAACATTGTCAATGACAAATGAAAGATTACTGCCACACAGCTATTACAGGACTGAAGTAAATGGGACAAGCAACATCTGTTTGCAATAGGAAAGATACAACTCAAGTAAGGGCATCTTCACAAGCAAGTTCTAAATAGGAATATAGAATGTTTATGTTAGCTTACAACCAGGATTTCTGAAACTAAAAGCCACAGATAGAAGAAAACATGTAGAGTCTCACAGATTTTCATGTGCTTGAAAAATGAGGACATTTGCAACAGGTCAAAGCAAGACTGCACTGTGGATTAGAGATCACAGCAAGTTCCATTAATGACTATCTTTCTTCAGTGTGGTATCTGCACAATGAGTATGAGCCTGGAATTTCTACGAGAGAATCTTCAATGCTGTGGAACCTTCAGCATGGGGCCACTGAAGCTTTGTTAATATGCATCAGTATACTCAGCTAAGCATTTAATGGCTGGGAACAGTGTTCCAATCTTAATTCATTTGCACATAACTATCCAAAAAGCTTCCCATTGCTAGCTCTGTAAGGTATTCATGCATCATGAATTTCTTACCATCATTGCTCCTCAAAAAGGAGTTAGGACACTGGCAGAAGAACATGCTTGCTTTTTCCAGGGAAAGATGTATTGTATTGCTATTGATCTGCACTTAGAAAACAGAACTTAAACCAAACAGCAGTTCATCCTTGGATAACTCAGTTACAGCACTTGAAAGTGCTTAATTTATTAATCTTCCATGTATATTAATTTGTTTTAAGATGTTTAAATAGCACACAAATTTCAGATCTCCAAGTTATTCCTCTAGACAAGACACTCACATGTTGTTCCCACCACAGGTTTCTCACTTCCTTCTAGAAGGTCCCAGAAGTAGAGAGATGATTGTTCCATCTGGTCTTCAACACTAAAACAAGTGACAGTTTTACCAGGTAGAATCACCGTCAAGATAGTGTTGTAGTATCCCAATATCCCTCATTAAGACACTGACTAATGTTTAGCCTTCCAAATTAAGGCTGTATACATACAGCGAACCCTAAGCCCATTATCCACTACTGAAAGTGATTCATCTTTATCTGTTTGTACATGATTTTAATCTAGCAAATATAAATTCTTTTGAAGGTAAATAAGACAGATTAGAGAGCCTAGCATTATCCCACAAGACCATATGGCTGGACTTCATTCCAAGACACGAATCCAACACAGGAACAATTGCTACTTAATCACCTGATCACCTTGTTTATTGGATGGCCATGTGCAGCAGCAAGCAGCAACATGTCCTGCCACTCTGCTACTGAGAAGCTTTGACATAGGCCCATGATCCACCCCACCATCCCCAGGCAACAGATTTTCAAGTGCATCATGATGAAATTTAGTGTCCCAAAGGAAAGGATTATGCTTCTTGTGGAAGTGTAATACACTGAGAATTATAAGCTAGAAATCAAGTTGTTTCACTGGGATGAGAAACTCCTATTGTGTGGCTCTTTGTAAGTAGCTGTTCTTTAGAAGTTTTAAGAACAAAGATTAGGCAAGTTTAGCCTATAACAAGTGATTACAAATTTTAGTAATTATTTCCATATTCAAACATGACCAAGTTCTTCTCCACAAAATGTTTCAACTTATCACCTAATAACTGCTTTGTCCATACTTAAATACAATTCTTAATACACTATCTTAAAAACAGACAGGCTGTCCTGCTAAACATTATAAGTCATCATAATAAAAAGCATGATGCCAAACTACTACTGGCATACATTACACCTATTGACAAACTGTTACCTTAAGATGTCTGACATTTAGTGAAAAGGTACCAAAAGCTTCAGCCACATTTTTAAAATTACTTTGAAACAAATAGCAAGAGAGCCTCAGGACTATCTTACATTCCTTTGGAACAAAGCAGCACATCTGGACAATCATGTAAATAGAACATGGAACCATTCTCCTGTGTTTACTGCACTTTTTTCTCCATTTCATGAACATTGCTCATTTCACAATCAGTGGGACCTCAGGGAAGCAGCACACCACTAGCCTCCTTGCTTATAGTGGTATTGGACTGTCTCCTCTCAACCCCATAGGGACATAAGACAGCAGGGCTTGTATGTAACTTGCACAACCAAAGCTGTAATTACGGCAGCTTCCTTTTAATGCTCATCTGCTATATTTCTAGTCTGACTAAAGCAAGTGTACTGAATAGAATTTTAATTAGAGTCACAGAATAATTTGGCTTAGAAGGGACCTTTAAAAGGTCATCTAGTCCAATCCCCCTGCAGTGACCAGGGACCTCTTCAACTAGATCAGGTTGCTCAGAGCCCTGCCCAACCTGACCTTGAACGTTTCCAGGGATGGGGCATCTACCACCTCTCTGGGCAACCTGTGCCAATGTTTCACCAGCCTCATGGTGAAAAATTTCTTCCTTACATCTAGTTGAAATCTACCCTCTTAGTTCAAAACCATTACCCCTTGTCCTATTGCTACAGGCCCTGCTAAAAAGTCTGTCCCCATCTTTCTCATAGGCCCCCTTTAAGTATTGGAAGGCTGCAATAAGGTCTCCATGGAGCCTTTTCTTCTCCAGGCTGAACCACCCCAACTCTCTCAGCCTGTCCTCACAGGAGAGGTGTTCCATCCCTCTGATCATTTTGGTGGCCCTCCTCTGGCCCAACTCCAACAGGTCCATGTCTTTCCTGTGCTGAGGGCTCCAGAGCTGGACACAGGACTCCAGGTGGGGTCTCACCAGAGTAGAGGGGCAGAATCACCTCCCTTGATCTGCTGGCCACATTGCTTTGGATGCGGCCCAGAATATGGTTGGCCTTCTGGGCTGCAAGTGCACATTGCCAGCTCATGTCCAGCTTTTCATCTGCCAGTACCCCCAAGTACTCACTGTGCAGGACCCTGCACTTGGCCTTGTTGAACTTGATGAGGTTCACACAGGCCCATTCCTCAGCTTGTCTAGGTCCCTCAGGTCTCAACTGCACCACTCAGCTTAGTGTCGTCTGCAAACTTGCTAAGGGTACACTTGATACCACTACATCATTAAGATATTAAACAGTACTAGTCCCAGTACAGATCCCTGAGGGACACCACTTGTTAGCAACCTTCACCTGGACATTGAGCCATTGACCACTACTCTCTGGATGCAACCATCCAAGCAATTCCTCATCCACCAAACAGTCCACCCATCAAACCCATAAACAGGAGAGACAGAAAGATGTTGTGGGGGACTCTGTCAAAGGCCTTACAGAAGTCCTGATAGATGATATCCATAGCTCTTCCCTTGTCCACTGATATGGTTACTTCACCCTAGAAGGTCACTAGGGTGGTCAGGCAAGACTTGCCCTTGACGAAGCCATGCTGACTGTCTCAAATCACCTCCCTGTCCTTTTGCCTTAACATAGCTTCTAAGAGATCTGTTCCATGATCTCCCCAGGCAGAGAGGTGAGGCTGAAAGGTCAGTAGTTCCCAGGGTCCTCCTTGCTACCCTTGTTAAAAACAGGTGCAATGTTTTCCTTTTTCCAGCCACCAGGGACTTCAACTGCTATGACTTTTCAAATATCATGAAAAGCAGCTTGGCAACTACATCAGCCAGTACCCTCAGGACTCTGGGATGCATCTCATCAGGTCCCATGGACTTGTGCATATTCAGGTTCCTGAGGTGGTCTTGAACCTGATCTCTTACAGTGGGAGGTATTTTACTCCTCAAGTCCCTGTCTTGCAGTCCATCCACTTGAGGTGTGGGAAGAGATTGACAGTGAAGATCAAGGCAAAGAATCAATCTCTTCCTCATCTGTTATTAGCAGTCTTGCTTGTTGTGTTGGGGGGTATGCTTTCTTTGACCTTCCTTTTCTAGCTGACATACCTGTAGAAGCCCTTCTTATTCTTTGCACCCCTTGCCAAGTTCAGCTCTAGCTGTGCCTTGGCCTTCCTGACCCCATCCCTACAAAACCAGGCAGAGCCCCTATACTCCTCCCAGGATATGCCTAGGGATCAAGAGGTTTTGAATTCTATGGAAAGCATCCTTAAAGATCTGCCAGCTCTATTCTGCTCCCTTGTCCCTGAGGGCAGTTTCACAGGGGGTCCTACTGACCAACTCCTTGAAGAGCTGGAAGTTTGCTTTCCTAAACTTCAGGGTCCTGACTCTTCGCCTGACCCATACCCCTCAGGACTGTGAACTCCACCACTGTGTGATCACTACAATCCAGGCTACCTCCAATCTTGATGTTACCAATTAGCTCACTCCATTGGTGACCAACAGGTCCAGTATCACAGTCCCTGTGATAGGGCTGTCTATTACCTGGCTTAAGAAGTTATCCTCAATGCATTCCAGGAGTCTCCTGGATTGCCTATAGCTCACCATGCTACTTTTCCAGTAGATATCAGGTTGAAGTCCCCCAGCAAGACAAGAACCTGCAAATGTGATGCCTCCTGTGGCTGGAGTAAGAAGGCTTCATCAATAGGCTCCCCTTGATGAGGTGGCCTGTAGTAGACATTAACGACCAATCTTTGTTGCCTCAGTCTCCAAGTCTTACCCACAAGCTTTCAACCTGCTCATGACTATTCCTCAGAGACAACTCTTCACACTATCCATTTCTAGATGTAGAGGGCAACACCTCGACCCCTCCTTCCTCACCTGTACCTTCTGAACAGCCTGTAAGCCATTGATAGCCACACTCTAGTCATGGGATTCATCCCACCAAGTTTCAGTAATGGCACGTAGGTCATAGCTTTCTAGCAGCATGGCAGCTTCCAACTTCTGTTTATTGCCCATGCTGCATGTATTGATGTAGAGGTACTTCAGCTGGGCTGTCAGCCATGTCACCTTCTTAGAGGAACACACCTTAATTCCTTTGAGGTATTTCACTGGTGTTGCCCTCTTGGCTCCTATTACCTCAGAAGCCCCTATCTCATCTCCATAAGCCTTCAAGCATGCTGCAGTGCAGCCAGCATGTCTGAGCAAGAGGCTGAGGGCCCTTGCTAGTATCCAATCCCTCTAACATTGGCATGTCATCCCACAGCTTGTCATGGGCAGGCCTGATACTATCTCCCTCCCCCTTCAAGTCTAATTAAAGCTCTGTCAATGAGCCCAGCTAGCTTGTGAGCTAAGACACTCTTCCCCCTTTGAGAAAGGCAAATCCCATCTGATACCAGCAAGCCTGGTGCCGTGTATGCCATCCCATTATCAAAAAACCCAAAACTGTGGTGGCAACACCAGTCATGGAGCCATGTATTAGTGGACTGGGCCCATCTGTTTCTTCCAATGTTGCTGCTCACAACTGGAAAGAGGGGACAAATAACCTGTGCTCCAGATTCCCTTACCAACCATCCCAAGGCCCTTGAAGTGTCTTTTGATCACCCTTAAAAGAGCAGTAATAGGCAATTGTCCAAGGGCTGTACGAGGCTAGGAAGTTTCCTAGTGATGTCCTTAACCTGGGCCCCAGGAGGCAGCAGACTTCCCCTAAAGGAGGGTCTGGCTGGCATATTAGACCCTCTGTTCTCCTCAGAGGGGAGTCTCCTACAAGTATAACCCATCTTTTCTTCCTCATGGAGGTGGTTGTGATACAGGGCATAGGCCTTTCTGACCTTGGCACAACTCTGGTGTAGGTGGACCATCATCCACATCATCCAGTGACTGGCATTCCACATCCAGAGCCTCACACCTGTTGTACAGAGGCACCTGCAAAGGCAAGGTGCACAAGGAGGCAGTTCACCTGCCACCACCCCAAGCATGGACTTACCTCCGTTCACTCCTTTCCTTTAAGCTACTGTCTTCAGCCTGGTAGGGGAAGGATACAGGACCCCTTGATCTTGGATTTTTCTCTGGTGGCTGCACCTGCTTCTGTCTCCAGGAGGACAGAACATGGTTCCACCGGTCTCTCAAACCCCCTGATGCTCCTTAACCTTTCTACTTTCTCTCCATAGCTCTGCCACCAGGCTGCACAGATCATACACCTGGTCACACCTCACACAGCTGTTCTCACTACTGCCATCTGTTACCAGTGAAAGGCTCTGGCACTCTGTAGCCTGAGACCTGACTGTATCCCAAAACACAGTATTTCAAGACATGGCAGTGTCAAGCAGAGGACATTTACTGTAACAAGTGAAGCATACTAATTAGACAAAAATCTTGAACTTACCTCAAGTTCTCATTTCTTTCTGGACATGTCAGTTTTGCAAATCTTATGAGGTAGTCTAGTTCTTTAGAAGGCAAGTATATTGCACCATTCACACCACCTTTGAAATCTTTCTGAACATGCTCTTGAGTGAAGTTCTGCAGCACATACTGGACTTGAAGTATTGTACGCAGTTTTTTCTTTTCTGCTTCAAGCTTCAATAGACTCTCTCTTCGCTGAGCCTTCCTCTGTGCTTTCAGCAACTATTTCAAAACATGAATTCAACAGTTAAACAACAGTTTATTAACAGAATTCTAGGATAAAATATATCAAGTTCTAGTGTTGGTCATCCTACATTAATCAAAATATTAATTTTTGTTAAATAACAGAGTCTCCTAATTCTCCCATCAGAGACCCAAGATCTTTCAAAGCTCCTCCTCTGGAAGAACTCCCCGTTTATCCACTAATTCTCTAGACATCTAGCTTTTAGTCAAACTGGATACTGGTAGCTTCACTTGTGATATGCCTTTATGATCTCTAGATCCTGATTATACCTGCTAGTTGCTTTATTCTAAGAGCTTTCACAGCTGAATATAAAGAATTGGTACCAATGCACAAATCCAGGTCTAGGTGACCTTTAACATTTATCACATGAAGTTAGTGATGCAGAAGTTGTCTCAAGTTTCTCCTAATGAGACAACTGCCTCCTCACTTTTGAATACTCCAATTTAAATGATACAGCAGAATCCTACAGTTACTCTTATTTCTGTTGGCAGAAGACTGAAGCACTCATTAAATAAGCAACCACAAGCCACAGAACATACACAGCCCCCATGCATTTGAGGAAAAATTTCTCATAATGTACTAATAGAATTAGTACATTAGAAGCTATCCAAGTAACTGCAGAATTAAAAATGCCTCAACATGAGATATCTTAAGTTTCTTTGCAATTATCTATGAAAATTTAGGTTTTCTAGAACACACTGTAAAGGATATAAGGATGTTATTGCCAGAATGGCCCCTAGTGTTCCAGTAACGGGTATCGGCTGTAGAATCCATACTGGTAGAAGTAAAGCCAAAAAAACCAAAGTGGGTTAGCCTTTAAATATACTATAAGTTCAAGAACAAACAAACTGGTAGAAGTTAACACTGGATTACTAAAAACACCTACATAAAGAAATACTCAGTCACAACTCTTCATTTCTGATACCTTATGGGCAGCTACACAGGGGAAAGCAACACGAAGCAATCCAAGTTTCATGTTCAGTACAGTAGTTTCTATGTTCAACAGGCAATGACTGAGGGAACCCAAAGCAGCAACACTGCTGAAATGGCTCTTAAACCTCTGCTCACACAGTGCTCCAAGAGATTTACTGCACTATCTGGAACAACTATGTAAGAAAAGCCTCTATAGCAAAATTGATTGGGTCTCAGTCAACACCAAGACAAGCCATTTTACCAGTCCTTCAGCATTCTGTAACAGGCAGAGAAATAATGCCAGAGCAATGACTAATCATGTTTAGCATCCCCAGCATTACCTTGGATCAGATCTTTTCATAAGGATAGTGTTCGCTTGAGCCAAGAGACCAGTTTCTCTGAAAACACATGCTTACATAATAATGGATGTAGTGCTTTAAACCCTGAATAAGGGCCTAAAAGCACTAGAACTATGACTTGCCATAATTAGAGACAACTACAGAATAATAAGTTGCAAACTCCACATGCTTCAGTAACATTTTACTGAGAGCTGTACCTCTCACCAAAACCAAAGTGATTTAACCACAGCACTTTCCATCACTGGAAACATCAAAACATTCCATTCGGAAGGGATCTTGGGATGTCACCTAGCCCAACCTCCAGAACAAGGGCTACACTGAATCAAGACCACATTGTTCAGAGCTCTGTGCACTCAGGTCTTGAAAAGGTCCAAGGACAGATTTCACTACTTCTCTAGGTAGCCTGCTCTAGTGCTCAATTATCCTAGAGTGACCATTTTCCTCCTGTCTGGTTGCAACCTACTATATCCATTTATGATCATTCTTTCTCCTACCACATCTCTAAGCAAAAAAGCCTGGCTCCATCCCTTCTGTGATGAAAGCTACCAGCAAGATGGTTAAAGGTTTCAAACCGAAGTAAACCAGAGTAATCTCAAACACACCTGAGTTCCAATGACCCAATTTACTTAAGCACAAGTTCTTACAGGGGTACACAGTAAATAACGATATTGTGGAGATCAGTGGTACACAAAATGGTCAACACTTAATCTGCTCTACTCACTACTCCAGACACCAGGCACATCATTCCCCCCCCAGTTCCAAGATAGAAGCCTCCTAGTATTCTGCATATTGGCATATAAGTGTAACCATTAAAAGAGTAGCACAAACTTTGCTTGTGCACTTCGTGACAATATAGGAAAGACCATTTTATACTTACATCTTGACTAAGTCCTGAAAAAGTCTTCTGAAGCTCCTTAGCGAATTCCAAGTTGTGTACTACTTCATCGTATTTCTCTACTGCCTCCTACAAAGGAATAGATAAAAAAGTATTTTTCTTGCTTAAGACTACTGGTTGCATTTCAATCCCCTTGTACTTAAATTCTCATCGAGAACTAGTCATTTAGTGTGTAATTCTCTGAAATCGTAACTTTTTTAAAGATACTATGTCTGCAACTGGTACTTTTAAATTTAGTCATGAATGTAATTCATCTATGATTGTCTGAGATGCAGTACAATGCCAGCGCACACCACTGCACAGATATCCCACAAGTTTGTCTTGTATTAAGCTTTCCAGGCAACATCTTGTGCAATAATTGGTATACTAATGTTAAAACAGGAAAGCCAGTTATTTTGCTTTTCCTTTTGTTCCCATAGGTCTCAGAGGTAAACAGCTACTTAAAATCAGATGCTGATACGAAAGGCTGGAAGGAATACAGGAGATAAGTTCAGTACAGGTATTTTACCCTGATGCTTAGCTGAATGCTTTTACAGATAATTTGTACAAACTTCAGAAAAAATACAGAAAGGCAAGTTACACTTTCAGAAAAGTCTTTCAAATTTATTTTCCACCAATAAAGCAGTATCTTCATTAATGGCTTTAACCAGTATTTTACTAGCCAGTCTTCAAAAGACTAAAGTTGACTACTACATTTTGATACACCCTATTTTTTTATTAATTCTTCCCTACTAAGTAGTGAGTTCATTTTTAGAAGTCTCCCTGACAGCTCTGAAGATAGCCAAAAGGTATAGTTCAAACATGCTGCTCATTCTCATACCACAGGGCATGCCTAGGAAGTAACAATTTCAGTTTGATTTCTGTTGTTCACATGCGCTTTACATTCAATTTGGTTTATACTTATGACACTGTATCAGACATTTTTCTAGAACAGGCCCATCAGTCTAATATAAAGCTCTTTCAGGGTAGTGTTAGTGTTGCTAAATGTTTCATCACTGCAGTAACAAAAGCTTAATCTACTGTCCCGATAAGATTTGGGACATGTGCAAATTCCCTGTGTTCCTAAGCAACTGGAAAACAAGTTGCACATTCATTTGTTCAATCAGTTTGATTGTTCAGATACTTGTATTCACTTATTTGTAGTATATCAGACATTACTAGGCCTAAATGGTACTCATCACAAAGCACATGAGTTCCTATAAAGCACTCACCTGGTAGCTTAAGTTGTCCTCACACAATTTATCAAGCAACTCTTAAGAACTAATTAGCAAGTTCACTTAGAAGTCATTCTCCCACATGCTAAGATCTTGACGACCACACATTTGACATTTGAGGAAGGCTCTCAACAGCAACAACTTACTAGATAGTGTGGTAATTGTGCCTTTAACCATGCAAATCCCAGAGTAAAACTCCCTGCCTGAAAACACATAGAACAGTTACCACTGCTCTGATGACAAGCTATTAACTCAGCCTGCAGGAAAGCAACAGCCTTCTTTCATCACACCTGTTATTAACATTCATTAACACCACATTGGAGTAGCAGTACCAAGGAAAGTCTGCTCAGCTTGCAAAAGAGCACAACATTGCCAGTGAGAGCATTTAGCTTGCTGGAAGCTCCTCATTTTTGAAACAAATGTTTCCTGAAGTAAGCCTAGCACACACTGTAGCTCTAGCAGGCATGCACCGTAAGTAATTACAGTTTAATCCAAACTGCTTGCAAAACAAGTTCATCACCAGATTTGCACTTCTCCCTCTGTGTGAGAAACAATGAAAAATATAGATGACACCAAGTTACTTTAAAGGACCATTGTATTATAAGCAAGTGTTGAAACTATTAAGCTCTGCTCTAGCTTCAATCACCAGGTCCCAATATTTGTATACACATCGTAAATTTGCATCCAAAAGGTAGAAATGCAGTATTTGTGTATCTTAAACACTGAAACAGGGGTCTTCAACTAGATTAAATACCAAGTTGGTATGTGCTTCTACAACAGTCATCAGTTAGTTGTTCATCTCACTACATCTGGTCCAGTACACCTGACTACCACTGGTCAGTTCACTAGCAAGACTGAATCTAATTCTCCATTTTAAAAGCCTGAGATATCCCAGAAACTGTGATAAAAATACTAATACTTAAAAGTTAAGCTCAGCTGGGAATACTGAAAGCCAGTAAGCAAGTTAATTGCCACTTTCCAAAGTTAGTGCTGCTGGGTGCATTTGCCAGAAAAACATATTCAGAATCCTTCACCTCTTTAGTTCCCCATGTCCTAATTTCACTTTCACCTAACAGCTTTTCACAGTCCAGTGTGTATACTAAAGATAGTCAAATTTAGAAGTAGCTTCAAAACATGTTCAAGACTAATCAAACTTACCCAGAATACTGTTCAATAGTCTTACTGTTAGTGACAGAAAACAGATTGTATCCAACATCTATGATCTAAACACAAAAGGTTCTTGCCCACCTGATCCCAAATTGACTTTAGAGGAACTAAAAGGTCATCATCCCACTTCAAACCATCAGATTTAATTCATTTACTTCTGCATGTGAGATGGCAAGAGACTACAGATTTCATAGTTAAGTGCTAAATGATCAGTCACTCCAATAGGTCTACCCTACTTTTAAGTAGCAAGTTATCGTTTCCCCCTTTTATCCCATTTATGTCTAATTCTCATTTAGAAATGATTCAGAGCAAGGAAATAGTATTTGTGTTCTCATACTGCTGCACGGTGATAAAGCTAAGGGTCAATTAAGTATTTTTCCAACTGGTTCATTAGCAGGATCAGCACAATCACTGAAGTGTCAGTGCCCTTTATCACACAATTGCTCTTCAGCCTATGTGTGAAGTACATTTTAAAAAGTTGACTCCTAGATGACTAGAGCAGTAAACCCTTTGGATTATGTGACATTGCTACTCAGACACACTTAAGAAGCAACAGCTTTCATGTTCTAGAAACTTGGTTTCATGTTACAGAAACTTGGACATTCTAATCCAAGACAGGAAAAAGCCAGAACCACTGTTTCATCATCAGGCAAGTTTAAGCTCACTCCACAAAGTAAACCCCATTTGTTCAGTAGTGATCTTGCATCCTGGCATTCCTAACTCTAGCAACCTTAGATACCAAACAGACATATTGTTCTAACAGTATTTGAGACTATTGGCAACTTTCAGACATCTAATGGCAGCACTAGAAGGACAGGAGAGTTTTCCTAAGTCAGTGAAAAATAGCTATATTGTTCTATTAGGGAAGCCTTCAGATCCCATCCAAGTTAAAACAGCATCTTCATTTGTACCAACATCGTCTGTGTCAGTTACACCTTAACAGCTACTTGTAACCAACAGCATTCTGCAGCCAACAGACAACTGCAAGTAACACCTGTTAATTGAAGGCATGAGGATTAATTAGCTAACCCAAAACTCTTGATGTTTGGGTTCTAACACCGCAATGCCATGTAGATAAGCTGCATACAGACACCTCATCAAGAAATAAAGATGCAGGAGCAAACATAAACAAGGACCTTCTAGTACACAAGGACTTGGGGGTACTGGCAGATGAAAAGCTGGACACGAGCCAGCAATGTGTGCTCTCAGCCCAGAAGGCCAACTGTATCCCAGGCTGCATCCAAAGAAGCATGGTCAAGGGAGGTGATTCTACTGCTCTACTCTGGTGAGACTCCACCTGGAGTCCTGTGTCCAGCTCTGGAGCCCTCAGCACAAGACAGACACGGACCTGCTGGAGTTGGGCCAGAGGAGGACCACCAAAATGATCAGAGGGATGGAACACCTCTCCTGTGAGGACAGGCTGATGTGGGGTTGTTCAGCCTGGAGAAGAAAAGGCTCCAGGGAGACCTTATTGCAGCCTTCCAGTACTTAAAGGGGGCCTATAAGAAAGATGGGGACAGACTTTTTAGCAGGGCCTGTAGCAATAGGACAGGGGCTAATGATTTTAAACTGAAAGAGGGTAGATTTTGACTAGATCTAAGGAAGAAATTTTTCACAGTGAGGCTGGTAAAACACTGGAAGAGGTTGCCCGGAGTGGTGGTAGATGCCCCATTCCTGAAAGCATCCAAGGTCAGGTTGGGCAGGGCTCTGAGCAACCTGATCTAGTTGAAGAGGTCCCTGGTCACTGCAGGGGGATTGAACTAGATGACCTTTAGAGGTTCCTTCCAACCCAAACTATTCTATGAAGATTAAAGTAGGATACTTAAAGCTCATGGGCTCACTATTCAGCTTAATTATCAATAATTTGTCTATTTGATTTTGAAAAATACCATTGCAAGCCTGCAGGCATTACTTCCGTAAAACTACACCACCACCTCCTTCAGCAACCTATCCCTTCTGACATATTTGAAGGTTTTGAGGCCATCCACTCCTCCATAAAGCAAACTTACCAACTGGTCTTGATTGAGGGCTTCTCCCTTCTTCAGGCGATCTTTGTAGTCTTCTAGTTTGAGCTGTGGGAAAACCCAAAGTAAAATTTTTATATTTTTATCTAACATGGAAGATGGGGTATGAGCGAAGTTACATATTCTGTCTGTAGTTTAAGACATCTGCATACTGCAACAGAATAGGAATTTTACTACTTCCTCTCATTTTCAGGAGAAAGGAACATAGAAAGTTTTGCTACAACTTTGATTTGACAATCTCAGTCTCCAGGACCGCCTGCTTCCCTTTCCTACCTTTGATCTTTCATTTCTTACTTGGTACCTTAGTTTCATTTAAGAAATAATAATGCATTGATCCTAGATCTGTAAAGGGCTCCAAACACATCCAGTGATCGTAAATTAGGCTTTTTTAGCTTTTCCAAGTCAATGCTGGAATTTAATTATCCTTGAATAATCCTACTTAATTTTCCAGAGTATGTCTTTCAAAATCTGGCTTCATTTTTTTCATCAAGATTTTATAGCACTATTTCCTAAGGATGTGGACTAATGTCTTTAAGGAAGAAACAAATGTATTTCTAAAATATTGATACAGTCTTTAAAAGCTGATGCAAACTATACAAAAGAACCTAAACCACTAGGTATTACAAGCTTCATTATACACACAGGGAAAAGAAAGGGGAGTTCACTGCCATGAAGTTGAATATTATTTCATTTGTACATCTACCCACATAGGGTTTTACTGACAGTACCTATAAGGAGCCTAGGACTAGGAATACTTTCTACTCATTTTAGTAAGTCACACTTTCATTTGCTGGTGAAGCCATATTGTCATTCCTGTGAAAATTTAAAGATACTTTAGAAATTCACAATAAGCTTCCTTGGACAGAATTAGAATACAACACAAACGTTGGTTAATCACACAAAGAAAACATGCTTATCTGACATTATTCAAAATTACAGCATGATGCACGAAATGAGACAGCAGTAATACTGCATCTCCTGCAGGAGGATCAAGTCCCCTAGCCACATGGCCAGAAGTCTGATCTACTCCCTCTCCTCACCTTAAGATACAATGCATAAAGCTTTTCAGACATTTAGAGAAACACAATTCATACAATTGCTTCACCTGTAATCCTGATCCAGTACTGAAAGCAACAGCACCATTATTTCTTTCATATTACAGAAAATAGTATTCTCCCCAATTAAAAATCATGCACATAGCCTTCAGTCACCTGCCAATCAACTGAAGAGTCTTAAAATGCAAAAGCCTGAGCAGCTATAGCCACAATATTTTAGGTGTACCATCTTAGCTCTTAATCTTATTAACACTATTCTGTCCCCTCCCACCCCAGAAAAGCACAGTTCAAAGCACGAGAGCAGGTTTTGGAGGCTTTCTGTATAAAAGCTTTCAATTGAATGACATTTGCCCACGTTTGAAACACAGAAGTCAAAGATTTATGCAAAGTGAAGGGCAATACATATTTAATATAATTTGTCATTTCCATGAGTCAGAGGAAACACTGTTCCTCGTTTCCAATTTTACATACACCTCTACATCCTAATATTAGATGCATGTAATTGATAGAAGAAATATTAAGATTTCTGCAAGACTATAAGCCATCTCCAAATCAGTTCCAAGTTAGTTCTTAACTAATTCAGTCTATTAGATAAGCATCCCCAGTTTTGATCACCAATCAATTACTTTTGCTAACTATTGGACATGCACTGTAAAGCCAGCAGCTGAGAGCAGGTTTATAGTTGGCTGCATTCCTGATTCTCTGGAACAATAATGTTATGCTCACAAAAATGTCAAATGCAAGTAGCCCATTTCAGAACAGTAAGAGTAAAGAATGCCATTCTTTACTATACAGGTGTTATAAATAACAAAAAAACACTAGCAAATCCACATTTAGGTCCTTCCACAGGTTATTTAAAAAAAATTTCCATGATTACTCTCAATATACACATGCAACCATATTCCAGCTATTATAAAACAGGCTTTATGATTAGCAATTTAAAATGTGCCATACCAAAGAAGAACCAGTTACCTTCTTTTTCTCAATGTTCCTGATCTTGTGTTTGAGGCAGATAAGCCCATTATCAATGTAAGTCTCATACGCCTGGGAAGGAGAGGCTGCCGAGTTCAGCGCAGACTGCAAGGGGCTGGAGGGAGGTTGATTCTCCCCAGACGGGTTCACCTGCTGCTTGGCCGCCTTCATGCTCTTATGTTCGCCCTCCTCTGACCAGCCTGAAGGTGATGATGGGCAACGGAAAGGGGCTTGGGAAAGCTGCACCATTGAAATGGATGGAGCTGCAAAGAAACTAATTTTATTTAGCTCTTTCTCAACACCCCTCGATTTTTTTTTAAAGTTACATCTTTTCTTATCACACATTCAGAACACATAGCCACAAAACTAAGCCTCACTAAGAATTTATCACAACACTCTTCTCCCTCCCCCTTTCAAAATATCCGTAGCAGGAATTTCAAAGCAAGGCAAACTTTGTATTGTTCAAGTCTCCCCACCCATCCAGACACCAAAAATCCTTTACACAGGCAGAATTAGACAGCACAGGGGATGATTCCAGAAACCCAATATAGTGTCCATATAAAAATAGGCGGGTTTCCTGCACACATCACCCACAAGGGAAAAAACTGCAAGCAAGCAATTGCAAATCACGCCGCCAGCCTCACATCTAGGCTGCAGCCTGAGTGAAGATTTAGAGGTGGCATGCCTAAGGTACAGCCCCTCTCCTTCTCACCCCCATTAAAACAGTTTTACCCCTTCATGACCTTTGCAACAATCCAGCCAAGAATTTAAACTAGAAATATTTCAGTTGAAAAAGACCAGAAGTAATTTCTTAAATTTGCTTAATAAAGCAAGCAGCAGACTCAGTTACAACAGCATCATCCTTCGTGAGGAACTGGTCTCTGCCTATACCCACCCAAAAGATGTGCTTGTGCCATGGCAAGACACCAGCTTTGATGGGAGGGGCTGGGCTTTAACCTTGAACAGAGAATTTCTGTAAGAGATGCTCCTCCACCCTCATATTCAGTTACTTACACCTGCTCCTGGAAAGCAATGACACCACATTTCTGCCTCCCTGCCCGCCAGGGAGGCCCGCAGCCCATGACCCGGCAGCCACCAGCCGCCCACAGCGAGGGAAGGTGAGGGGCCGAGGAGAAGAAAACCTGTATTTCCCCGGGGCGCCCGCTCGGCCCCCACCACCGCCCCGCCAG